AAGAGCCAGCCGATGGCTCATGGGCAGTCACACAGTAGGTCTGAGTTTGAGAGGGTTCAAGCACAAGAGGTTTAGTTGGAAGGAACATGGGGGCTAAAAGAGAAAGATACTTGGGCGAGGGAGGCAGTGGAGAAATGCACACTGCTAACTAAGCTAGCTATGGCAGTGGGCGCTGTCGCAGTGAATGCTATCACAGAAGGCGCTATCACAAAAGGCGCTATCACAGTGGTCACTATCACAGTGGGCGCTGTCACGGCAGGCGCTGTCACAGTGAATGCTATTACAGTGGTGACTGTCACAGTGGGCGCTGTCACGGTGGGCGCTGTCACAGTGGTCACTATCACAGTGGGCGCTGTCACAGTGGACACTGTCATAGTGGGGACTATCACAGTGGATGCTATCACAGAAGGCGCTGTCACGGCAGGCGCTGTCACAGTGAATGCTATTACAGTGGTGACTGTCACAGTGGGGTCTATCACAGTGAATGCTATCGCAGTGGTCACTGTCACGGTGGGCGCTGTCTTGAGAGAAGGCTCTGGAAAGTGGGGCTGGGCGGGATGAAGTTGGGTTACTCACACCTGCCCACTGCCGAGTGATCGGAAGTAACCCAGGTAAACCGGGGCTGAGAGAGAGGTGTCCCTCACCCAGAAGCCTCTCACAGAGCTGGGCCAGCTTTCTGGCTGAGCCAGGAAGTGGCTTCCTGTCCCCAGAAAAGCAGCTTCAGTCAGTAGCAAGAGCCTGTAATTACACCAAGCAGGCATGGTGCGCCAAATGATGATTAAGGCGTGAATGAAAAAATAAAGGTCTTTTGTTTTGTGCTCATTATGTGCTCTTTCTGATGAGTATACCAGAAAAAGAGAGAGAGAGAGAGAAAAAGCTGCCTTTCAGACAGTTAGCTTAATTAGCAGATTATATTTTCAGCTCTGTCCCCAAGCCGTGAGCTCAGCAGCGAATCCAAGCTGGGTGAGGATGTTCTTACCCTGCCCTCCTTCCTCTCCAGCTCCCCGGGTTTCAGAAACAAGACCCATGTGGCTAGTCTTTGCTCGAGCCCGGCCAGCAGCCTCTGCCTCGATGAATTCATTTCTGTCTGTGGGGTTCAGCACTGAGCAGCCCGAGACCCTTACGCAGGTAATCCTTTAGACAGTAGGGGTGGGAATGAAAAAATATTAAATCTGTCTTGAAGCGGTCCCCGCTTACATTCTACTTGGTTTATTTCTCCAAGAGACCCCCCTTATCCACCACAACACTTTTACCCCATGTCTACCCCATGGTTCCCTCTGAAAAGACATTTTCAGTCTACTTTAAAGTCTCTCAACTTAGCTGGGCTTGGGACCCTCACCTTTATGTTCTAATGGCTGTCATTTCAAAGCAAAATACGAATACACTCTCAGTATAAAGCAGTAAATAGTGCCGATGGCCATTGAGAGTCGAGTGTTTGTGAGGTGATTTCCTGCCCCTGGTCCCCTTCCTTCTCCTCTGCCTCCTCTCCCCTTCATCCTCTGTACACCCTAGACACATTTCAATCTGTTCCCACACACTGCTCAAATGCTTCTGTGTCCTTCTAACTGTTTAAAACACCACACTCAGACAGGTATTTAAACTGAGTACAGTTAGCGATCTGCATCCCTGGGAGCCAACAAAACACTGCAAGTATTTTGAAAATAGTGTCTTACTGAACCCACAAGCACGCAAGTGAGTGTGCCATGTGACTGGCAATGTTGATCCCAACTTGATGGACCTCAGCACTGGGTGTCTGTGAGGGATTGTCTAGGTTAGGTTAACTGTGGTGAGAAGACCCGCCCACGTGGGTGGTGGTGGCACTGTCCCATGGACTGGGGTCCCAGACTGAGCATCAGGGTCCATCTGGCTCTGCTTCCTGACTGGGGATACAGTGTAACCAGCACCTCCTACTCCTGCCATCCTTATTGCTACACAATAGATTGCACCTGAAACCCAGAGGCAAAATAAACACAGGCTTCCTTCGTTTAGTTACTTTGTTAAGTAACGATGCCATAACAATGAGAAAAGTAACACACATGTTACAATATATGTGTACTTTTTCCTTGTCATTTTTCCCAAGCATTACAGTTTGCCATTTACATCACAGTAAGCATTATAAGCAGTCCAGAGGTGATGCATGCAACAGAACTGGGAAGGGTCTGTACAAATACCATACAATTATATAAAAGAGACTTGAGCATCCACCGACCCTGATATGTGGTGTCCTGGAACCAGTCCTCCACAATAGTGAGGAACTGCTGTTCATATTTTATTTTTGTGAGTCAGGGTCTCACTATACATCTCTGGCTGACCTGGAACTCACTGTGTAGACATGTCTGTCCTTGAATTCACAGAGAGCCACATGCCTCTGCCTCCAGAGTGGGATTGACATGAATAAATGCCATCATGCCCAGAGAGAGAGAGAGAGAGAGAGAGAGAGAGAGAGAGAGAGAGAGAGAGAGCACACTGGGTATCGAACCCAGAACCCGGCACATGCTAGTCTACATCCCCAGCCTAGAACTTCTGCTTTTAAAATCTGGGACTAGAGAGAACTGTGTAACAAGCATGGGTGAATACAGCTGACTAACGCTGCCTTTGCCTTTTGAACTGTTTCTTCAGACTGAAAGCAGAAAAAACAGTGAAGAGGCAGAGGACAGACAACTCCTTCTGCTTGGCTGTGACCCAGGATTGTACTCCTGATCAGCACGCCAAGCAAGGTGTGACCACTGATGCAGTTGTGGTGAGAATGATGCTAACTGCTTCCCAGGTGAGCCTAAGGACAGTTCCAGAGGAAGGTGCCCGTGCCTGGAACTGACCAGGGCAAAACTTCGTGGCTGGGAAATCTCAGGCCTCGAGTGAGGAGCTGATGGTATTTTGTTGAATGGATGTGCTTTGCCCAGCAAACTCCCTTCTAAATATTTACATGTGCACGCTTACATTACTGTGCCGCCGTTGCCTTAGTAGAAGGAATTTTCATATTGTAGTAGACAGATCCTGTAGAGACTCACAGCTGGGCACAAGTGACCTTGGCTGCGACAACAAGTGCCACATAAACAAAAGTAGCAATCTACATAATTAAACAACTGCAGCATAAACAAATGTAGCAATCTACACAATTAAACAAATGCAGCATAAACAAATGCCGTACACACCTTTACACAGTTAATGCGATATTCCACAACAGTCAACGTCCTTTCTGACTGAATAAGCACTCCTTAGGACATCACCCCCACAGCTTTCTGGGATGGTTCCCTGTTCATGCTCAGGTGAGCTCTGACTTAAAAATAAAACTATTTTTTGTGAAAAATTATTGCCTGTTCATTGTGTATCATTTAGAAAGCGCAACAACAACAACACCCTAACTTGTCTGCAGTCCCTGAGAGTTAACTAAGAGTTAACTCAGAGGTGGGGAACATAGGCTGTCACAGGTTTCACAAGAATCCTAAGAGGTAGGAACACTTCCATTTACCATATGGGGAAACTGAGGAACGAAGAAGACAGCTGGCATAGGGCCACTTTTAGAAAAGGACAGAACCCACATTCCAGCCCAGACACTGAGTCCTGGAACCTCCTTTCATGCCCTGTTATGGTTTGGTTTGCGGCTGCAGCAATCAGAGTGAATGTAACAATGTCTGTAGGATGCAGTGTAAGCAGCTACTGTCTATTTGTCTGGATCCAGCTGCTTAGTTAGTGAAATGTCAGGTTTACATCTGGTGTGTGCAGAGGGAGGGTGGGATGGGGGCTCCATCGGGGGTCACTGAGATAGTGACCATGCCACCAAGTCCTGCATCGTATGGTGTTCTCTGCAGTGTATCTCCCTCCTCTTTCATTCCACGGAGGAGACATACAAAGGTCCTCAGCAGCAGCTGCCCAGCCTGCCCCCTTTCCTCTCATAACCTTGAGAACACTTCTCCACGTACTGGGGGATTTCGCGGGGACTGAGGTGATGGTTCAGCTGGTAGAACCCCCTCACAAACGTGAAGACTTTACATGCTAATGCAAAAGCCAGCCATGGTCACGCGTGTCTGTAACCCTAGCCCTGGGTACAGAGACGGGCAAATCCCTGCAACTCACTGACCAGCTAGTCTGGACCATCTGTGAACTCTGGGTTCAGAGAGAGGGAGAGACACCCAGCCTCCAAAGACACAGTGGAGAGCAATGGTAGAAGACGCTTGACTCTGACCTCTGGCCTCCACACGTGTGAGTACTCACACGATGCGTGCCCACACGATACACAAAATGCATGGGCACTCACACCACACACACACATACACACACACACTCTCTCTCCATAAATAAATAAAATTTTTCTTTTATTTAGCTGATATGCCATTATGGGTCCCCCCCCTGCAATTTTCTACCCTGTTGTCAATAACTTGATGGACCTCTTTGTAATTGAAGGTGCCATGTTAATCAACCAAAAGGTGTGGGTGCGTTTAAGGCTTTTCAGGCTGAGGAGGCAAATTTCTTTCTAGAAGGACCTTCTGTCTGCCATGAGTAAGTGCACCAAACATATCGGATTCAGTGTGTGTTCATCTGCTAGCCTGTGCATTCTTTTTAAATATTCCCTGTTTAACATATGAGGAAGCCTCTTCCATGGAGCCTTTAGTGAATCCCCCGGTTATATTTTTTCCCTCCCTTTGTGAATTGATGACAGCTGAGTTCTTCACTTGCTCATGTATTTCTTATTGATTTGCAAGGCCTCTGTTCAGTTTTAATGAAAAGTTTAAATTCCTGGTGCGGCCGTCAGAGATGCTGAGGGTTGCAATTCTGTGCAGACCTAATTGTTTCAATAACTTCTGCTAACGACCAGAGGCTAATGAACGCGCAGATCTGATGGATGGGGCCCAGAAGAGCTACGTAATTAGAAGTTTCCTCTCTTGATCAAAAGATTCAACTATATTTGTCTGTTTGACTCCCCGCCCCACTTTCTCCTCCTATTTTAATAACAGCGTTCAAATATATCCTACTGGTCTTGGCAGAACTGTGTCTGGCTGTTATGTAACTCTCCAATTAACGTAGGGTCTTACCTCCCCTGAATTTCATACTTCACTCTTCTAGTGGAATCTTCAAGCCTCTTTGGCTCCTCACTGCCTCGGCTGCCTCCAGGATGCAGAGTGAAGCTGTTGCTTAGCAACCGGGGTTCTGCTTATAGAAACAGAAGCCTCAGCTCTGGCCAAGAGGAAAATCACTGGTTGGAATAAAAAAGTTTTAGCTTTGAACCAAGGAGCAGCTAAAAGCACAGCCCTAAATGAGATGCTGAGATGTGGTAGCCCATGTGTCCTCCCAGGGGAACTCCAGGTTCTCAGTGGGAGCAGGGGATGGATACAGAGCTAAGTGGAGGATGGCTTCTGGGACCTTTGAAAGCCTTGTTCCCTGTGCTAACAGGTGATGGGGTCTGAGCAGGAATGTGTAAAACCACTCAAGAGGTCCCATGGTGTGAGGTTGGGAAAGGGTATTTACGTCTAAAGGCGTTCTGCTTCTGTCAATCATGGGAGGGTGTAGGGTCAGGGCTGAGAAAGAGCTGGAGCCACGGAGGGTTCTCAGAGAGGGGGACCTGTGGATGGCTTCAAACACTGCAGCCTTCCTGGATTACTGGCCTGGTTGTGTAGTTTGTAGCTCCTTTCTTTGGAAAACACACACACACACACACACACAGCTTACAGACCCCAACTATTCATTCACCCCTTTAGTGAGCTCAAGCCAATGGAATATTCTGGAGTTTGACTGAAGTGAAATCCTAAAATATTACCCTATGCTTCAGCTTGCTCTTCTGACCTGTTACGAAAAGAGAAACCACAGGTGCCACTGGCCCAGAGGGACAGACAGACAGACACCGGTAGACACCCTAGAGATGAAAATGGGACAGTTCCAGCTAGCATAAAGGTCCGTGGATGGGAAACTGTTTGCTGTAAGCCACTGAGTGGTGGGGACTGTTTGTCCAGCATCTCCATTGTGTCATCTCCTGACTGATACACTGTTCACCGCTCACTGCTGCCGTTTCCTTCCTCTCTGTAAGCTGTTTGAGTCTCGCTGCCCGCAACACAGAACACTAGCAGGTGAAGTCTCCTGCTCCATCTCATGAACAGAAGGACTCCTCCTTGTCTGAGTCTCCGATCTCCACAGATTCGTCCAGGCCTCCTTTTCCTGAGGTAGCTTGGGCAGAGTCAGCACAGATGCTTGCCCTGAACAGGTTCCCATGTCTCTCCCTGGGATAACTGTGTGCATTTATGCTTTGCCTGGGGTAACTGTTCCCTGACTCCAGCTGCTAAAGTCCCAGGTCTTCCCAATGCTGCCTCCTCCAGGTTCTCTCTGGAGCTAGACACACCCTCTGCAGTTCAAGAAGTTGCTGTCCCAAGGATGTTTTTGTTTGTTTTGTTTTTTTCTCCAGTGCTGCTTCAGTTGGGTAGCTGTTTCCTCCAACTTGAAGCACTCCCTCCTGGAGGGAGGAGGGAAGACCAGAAGACTCAGAGGGTAAATAAAACTGAAGTCCCAGGAAGGAAACAAACCCAATAGGGAAGCTGCGAGAACTTCTATGGCGGGGACAGCATCCAACTCCCATGACCCTCGCTGGGGTGGGTGTTTTTGCTGATTTATCTGCCTGTGAGTCACCTACGCTCTTATCAGTGGCCCTAGTAGATCCACTGGGTCACCAAGCTAGACATGGGTAAAATAATTTTTTCTGTCTATTGCTATGAACTCTCCGGGGTGAAAAGAACAGATTTTGCTCACATTTCCAAGGTAAAGTCGCACAGCCTGTAGCAACCACTCAGTTCTGTAGCAACCACTCAGTTCTGTCCTGTTAGCTGATCCGGCAGGGCAGAGACCCAGGGCGGAAGATATCAAGGGTAGGTCATATGGGCAAGACTTTCGGAGCGCATCAGATCCTGGCTGTCGCTTGGCCCCACGGCCTCCACTTTCTCTTTTACAAAGCAATAATGATGACACGTTTGTAGGAGGAAAACAATGCCGCCATTAACCATGTGACTTACTAGAGGCGCACACGCTGGCCTCAGACCTGTCAGGAGGCAGGACCGTGGCCAATGCACAGGAACGCTGAGTGAACTGTGTCTTACTCGTAAGAAGGAAAACTGTCTCAGGCTAGGTGTGAGGAGATGGTGATGCACCTTGGAGCCGGAGTGGTCAATCCCTGTGAGAGGTGGGACCCGAACCCCACGGGATGCCCTGGAAGACTGAGTGGTACACGCATCGGAGCTGTGTACCCCACAAAGGGCCAGGGGAGCTCTGTTGTACGTCCACGGACTCCTGTCCACCACTGAGCCAGACGCTGGAGGTGGAGCTTAGCTTCCTGGCACAGCTTGTTCCTTGCATCTGTTCAGTGAGGAAAGAAAGATTTCTTCAGGCATCAGGTCACAGCACACGGGATCCATGTGTGTGGGAAGGGGAGAAAGGGGAGTCTGACTCCCAGATAGAATTAGAACATAAAACCTAAGAGTCGGGAGCTGGCACAGGTATCCCTTGGAAGACAGGAAGTGAGTCAGGGCCTAGACATCCCTCCCCATCTGTCCTGGAGCCCCCAGGCACTGGGTTCCCAGGTTCTAGCTATGGTGTGGGAAGTCAGCTCTCTCTCTGTTGCCATGATGGCCTGGGCCAACCTGGAGCTGCGTGGGTGAGACTTGTTCCCTCTTTCCACACAGGAGGGACTTCCTTACAGGCCAGGGGTAGAGCATCAGGCAGGATTCAGGCTGAGCAAGTGTGAAATTCCCGCTGCAGTCCGGTCTGGACGGATCACTGACATTCCGCCCCAGTGTTGCAGGCGGAACTACAAAAAAAGAAAACGCTGGGCTTTGCGGCTTCGTATAATGAGATGGGACACCAGCCTGTCATCATCTTCACAGGAAATCGCTCAGGAGAGGAACTTCTGACAACCCCATTAGGGCTTTCCTGGGGTTTATAAATGTGTTAACTGATAATAATAGCTATCATTATTGTAATGATAATTCTCATTACTGCTATTTTAACAAGCCCCATTTCTTGAGAGCCACGCAGCTGCCACTCATATCTCTCTTTGTGTCTTTTTGAACTGAAACCACACCAAGACTCAGATGCTTGGTGACAAGGGAACCAGGAGGCTTGTCAACCTCCTCAGGGTTGCTAAGCAAGTAAGAGAGAATTGCTCCCCGGGAGGCTCAGGGAACATTCCAGAAGAGGGGATGGAAGGAACGTAAGGGCCACAGATTGGGGAGGGGGGCTGTGAATTGCTACCATCTGGATAGGACGCGATCTGTAGTCATGAACACACAGTAGCTATGGACACCTACACAAGGCCTGTACAGAATTGGACCCTTTAAAATTCAACAGCGAATGGAGGGGATCCCACGGCACCCCCACTCCCAGCGGAGGAGCTAAGGAATGTTAGGTCCAAAGGAATCTCCACTTCCTCAAATGCTGGCAGTGAGACCAAAGCCAGCATCCCTTGGGGAATTTTCCTTATCACTAACAGAAGGGGTAAATGGCTTTCCGTGGAGTCTATTAACATTCCCAAGCCTGCCTATTAGCATTCCCAAGCCTGTGCTGGCATCCTGGCCCTGCCCTCCCCTAAACTCCTTCTGCTCAAGAGCTTCCCTTCCTGAACAAAGCATTCTCCTTATGACCCTGCTATTTGTCTATGCTCCCTGGGTTCTCCTCTTTGCCCTCTCTTGGTCCTCTCTCCATCTCCTTTGCCTGCAGTTTCTCTGTCCTCCTCTCTAGCTCTCCCTCTCTCTGTCACTGAGGTCCAGTCTGCCATGTTTGGTCTGCTGCTTTCTCTCCCTGTTCTGGATTCTCCCCCAATGCCTCTGGCTGTTCTCTCCCTCATATAGACAATAGAAAAAAAGTTCCCTTTAATCATACCTTGGAGTGGTCAAGTTTATACATCTGGTGCAAAACCCCTCAGTTAGTACAGGAGCCGCTCCGGTTAGCATGCAATGCTCACACAAAAATGAATCTGGCATGGAATGGTAAAGAGAAGAGCGTCTGCTGCCCTTGCAGGGGACCTGGGTTTAGTTCCCATCACCCACGCCAGGCAGCTCACGACCACCTGAAACTCTGTCTCCTCAGGACCCGACAAACTCTTCTGGCCTCTGTGGCACCTGAATTCACATGCACACGTGCACACAGATACACACACATAAAAAGGTCTTTAAGCCTTTCATCTAAATCAGGTAAGGTCGTGAACACCTAGAATCAGAATCCCAGCACTTGGGAGGCTGAGCCAGAAGGATCACTGTGAGTCTGAGGCTAACTGGGAAACCTAGTGAATTTTAGGCCAGCCTGGGCTAAAGGTGAGACTCTGTCTCAAACAAATCAAGGCATCATGTGTCTAAAGGCTTGTCATTGCTACCTCAGACAGCTTTCTAGGTTTCCTCGTCTGCAGAGTTGGGTCTAGGCTACTCGGTGAAGAGACAGATGCTCAGAAGCCACACCAAATGGCTGCTTTGCCCTGAGAACCAAAGCCTATCTGCTAAAGGAGTAATTCACCAAGCAGCGTGATTCTGGGTTCCTTTTCCCGGTCTCACAGAGTTTCTGCAGCAGGATTTTACAGGACATGCAGCTGTCTCCCTGTTTCTCTTGTGGCTGGAGATTGGAGCGGGAGACATGGAGACAGGGGGATGGGGGACAAGGGGGATGTGACGGGCCAGTGAGAGATGACCAGAGTGGTGGGGCCATCACTGTCATGTGACTGTGATTTCCACGTGAGGGATCTCACACACACGCAACCTTTGGGAACAGGGGAAGGGACTGTGGGATGCTCGCAGGAATAGGCTGTGCTTCTCCATCCCTTCTCCCTCCATCAATAGCAGCAGGATTGTGAGCGAAGGTGTTGGATGCTCTTTTCACACATGCATGTATTTTATATTTTAAGTTAGCTGTTGGACAGTTTCACACTCGGACAGAATGCATCCCGGTTACTCTCACCTGAGCCCCTCCTCTGTCTATGACAGGGTGTGTCTGACAGGCCCAGTCTGGTGTAGACCCAGTGCTGGTCATGATTGCCATGACATTCCACAGTCCAGCTTGCTATCTTCTGGCTCCCACGTTCTTTCTGCTCCCTCTTCTGGCATGTTCCGTGAAGGAATGACGTAAGCGTGCTGTCGAAGGCTGAGCCCTTACTCTCAGTTCTGCACAGCCAGCCATGAGCAGATGTTTTTATTCAGCATTGTTATAGAGACAGAGCAAAAAAATGACCAATTAAATACACACACACACACACACACACACACACACACACACACACATTGATCACATTCTCAACCCAGCCAACCGGAAGCACACAGGTGCTTTCCTCGTCGGATTGTTGGAAAGATTTAATGATTTCGCAGCAGCAAGGTTGAGTGCAGAACCCAGTCAGGAGTGGGTGTTGTCATTACATCGTAACCCAGCTGTCACCCACAACCACCACCTGAGCCCACCCAACTCCTCCCCACCCCAAGTACAGTCAGAGTCAAGTTTCTACCCACGCAGGGGTGACTAAATTGGCCTCCCAGGAGTGTGGAATGGAACTGAAAATATCCTGAGAATAAGCCATGAAATCTCGTGTCAGTGCTCAGATCTAAGAACAAGCCCCGGGCAGGCAAACAAAAGAGGCAGAGGCTGCCTTTGGGAAGAGACCCCTGCCTTTGGGAAGAGACTCCGGCCTTTGGGAAGAGACCCCTGCCTTTGGGAAGAGACCCCTGCCTGCGGGAAGAGACCCCTGCCTGCGGGAAGCACAACCCCATTAAGCCTCACACTGCACACTGAGAGTCAGCGTACAAGTTCGTGTTTACTGAGCCGCCATGGGGTGCCTCGGGGGGCAAGATGAGCTCATTTTCCCGACTAGAGCCTTCAAGATGCTGGAAATGACTAAGGTTCCTTCTAGTTTGCTCTCAGCTCCCTCGCCGGCTGCCTGTGATCAAGCATCCGGTAACTTCTGGAATCTCGAAGACTGAATTTCTGAGCTTTCACAGTTGGGAAATACAAAATACACTGATATTTTCCTGGTGAGATGTTGAAAGGGTCCAATGAACTAATGAGCCTGGGTTTATGTACAGAGTCAATGTCTGCTGCTGAGGCCCTTCTGTAAAGCCCATAGCTGGACCCCACTATGGCTGTGGGCCCTTCCCTTTGTGGCTATGGGCCTGCCTTGCTATGGCTGTGGGCTCTTCCCATGAGCAATTTCAACAACCTCTAGGAGTGTGCACAGGGCTTGGGAGATGGGCGGTGAAGGCCTGCGTCACACGCACGAGGACTTGAGTTGAGGCGTCCAGCACTCACGGGAAGACTATGAACAGGGATACATACCTGCAGCCCCAGAGCTAGGAAGGGGTGCAGAGGGGGGGAGGGAGGGGGCAGAGCTAGGAAGGGGTGCAGGGGGGGGGGAGGGAGGGGGCAGAGCTCTAAACGCCATTCGCCTGCCTCGCTGATGCCCCGAACTCCATGTTCAGTGAGAGGCCCCATCTCAAAAATAAGATGGAGGGCAACTGAGGAAGACACCTCAATTGCTAACTTCTGACATTCCCACAGGCGTGCCCCTGAACACAC